GAAATAGTCAACATGAGTAAACATCACATACTGCATCACAATTGTGTAATGTCATACCAGTTAAAAATATTAACAATATACAACATGAACAAAAACCATCATCTATAACAATAAAGCACTATCAACTACCACCCGTAACAAATCTGAAACTTTAATTGCTGTCACAGTTAAAATATTTGTCCAATGAATAAAATGAATTATTTTAACCGTCTTACAGTGCATACATTTATTCACCTTACTCTTCTCTCTCGCACTACATGTTTCAGCACAAAAGTGCCATCTTCAGGTGCTTTTCGTTGTACGTCAAACTACTTCACTGCATGCCCTGTTGTCTTTATACTAAAATATATACTCGTTATATATATTGATAAATTTTAAATATTAAAAATATTAAACTATTAAAATATTAAAAAACTGTTCAGGATTTGTCATCCTTATGTCGTATCTCAATACGCGAGTCACACCTATCTTCCTCTATCGGAGCATTCTTCCTACTTTCGTGTGTGTATTGTGCTTTGTGTTGTGTCTTGCTCCTGTGACTGCGTGTGTTATACTGCTGGGCCTGTGGGCCTGCTGGTTAAAATAAATCATGGACATAAATCAGTGCAACAGGACGCTAAAATATAACATGAATAAAATGAATTTAAAAATAGGAATCTTTTAACAGGAGACCTAAATGTTTTAATCTCATGGGCTTGGTCTTTTATATTAGATGGAGGTTTATTAAAAATTTTAATTCCATAATAATATGTTCCCTTTTGAAATACATTTAAGTTATTTGAGGGATAATGGAGGTTATTACTATGTCTTGTGTTGATTGTATGAACTTCAGAATTAGATAAAAATAGATCTTTGTCTTTGACCACAAATAACAAAATGGAAAAAATATACTGTGAGTAAAGGGGCAGAATCTTTAATCTCTAAAACAACTCCCTACAAGAGGGAGTTACTGAGTTAACATTAAATAAAAATTAAAGGTTAAAATTAAAATCCAACTTTTTGTCACCTGGAGGTTGATGAAAGTAGTACCAGTCATTGCTTACTTGGGACCTTAGGTACCCGTGTTGCTGTTTTTCTCTTGTGTAGCTGAGATTATAAACTGTAGCACATTTTTGTCATGTTCTAATATTGGAATTGTATGTATTTGTACTTACATGTAGTGTCTGTGATTGGTGGATAAAGACCGCAGATGTTCAGATTTTCGAGGTTTTTAAGTTTCATTTTGTGGGTGTATGCTGTCTGGTGTAAAGTTGGTGTAGTGCCTCAAATGTTGGATTATGAGTGTCTATGTGAATGCTATTTATTTATTTATTTAATTACATTTCATAGATCCAGCTGTAGCCCAGTAGGGCTGGATATAAAATTTGTCACATACAAAGTCTTTCATAAAAGATCACATGAAATAAATATAAATATACAATCTTAAATATAACATATAAAATTTAAGATATAAGATATTAAAATATATATAAGGTAAATAAAGCCTCATGCAAAGAGCATGTAAATTGTGTGTAAATTATTTACATGGCCTAGACAAACACCATAATTATTATACCAGTAAGAACAATTTACAATTTGAGCAAGTCGAAATACTTAGAAATGAGAGTAACTTCATTAAACATTATTATTAGGACCTTTTAAGCGTGTATTTCTTTTGGTTTTTTTTTCAGCTTATATTGTAATATTTATGACATCCAATCTAACTGTACATTATTCATCAAATAAATAAATGAAATGAAAGATGAATCATAACTACATCCATGAAAAAGTACGAGTAAGTTAAATTCATGGAACGCTTCTTACCATTACGATTAATTATTATTTTTTACTGAAACCGTCACAACACAACAATCAATAATGTGTGTAAGTAGCTCTAGTAGATACTTTTGCTACATGTTTCGGCTTTCAAAAGGCGATCATCAGTCAAATACATTAAACTTTTTGTTACTGAATTGCATGTCAAATATTGGATATAGTACTAAACTTCCAAGCGTATACAATGATATAANGGGAGTTACTGAGTTAACATTAAATAAAAATTAAAGGTTAAAATTAAAATCCAACTTTTTGTCACCTGGAGGTTGATGAAAGTAGTACCAGTCATTGCTTACTTGGGACCTTAGGTACCCGTGTTGCTGTTTTTCTCTTGTGTAGCTGAGATTATAAACTGTAGCACATTTTTGTCATGTTCTAATATTGGAATTGTATGTATTTGTACTTACATGTAGTGTCTGTGATTGGTGGATAAAGACCGCAGATGTTCAGATTTTCGAGGTTTTTAAGTTTCATTTTGTGGGTGTATGCTGTCTGGTGTAAAGTTGGTGTAGTGCCTCAAATGTTGGATTATGAGTGTCTATGTGAATGCTATTTATTTATTTATTTAATTACATTTCATAGATCCAGCTGTAGCCCAGTAGGGCTGGATATAAAATTTGTCACATACAAAGTCTTTCATAAAAGATCACATGAAATAAATATAAATATACAATCTTAAATATAACATATAAAATTTAAGATATAAGATATTAAAATATATATAAGGTAAATAAAGCCTCATGCAAAGAGCATGTAAATTGTGTGTAAATTATTTACATGGCCTAGACAAACACCATAATTATTATACCAGTAAGAACAATTTACAATTTGAGCAAGTCGAAATACTTAGAAATGAGAGTAACTTCATTAAACATTATTATTAGGACCTTTTAAGCGTGTATTTCTTTTGGTTTTTTTTTCAGCTTATATTGTAATATTTATGACATCCAATCTAACTGTACATTATTCATCAAATAAATAAATGAAATGAAAGATGAATCATAACTACATCCATGAAAAAGTACGAGTAAGTTAAATTCATGGAACGCTTCTTACCATTACGATTAATTATTATTTTTTACTGAAACCGTCACAACACAACAATCAATAATGTGTGTAAGTAGCTCTAGTAGATACTTTTGCTACATGTTTCGGCTTTCAAAAGGCGATCATCAGTCAAATACATTAAACTTTTTGTTACTGAATTGCATGTCAAATATTGGATATAGTACTAAACTTCCAAGCGTATACAATGATATAAAATGATATGAGTGAATAAAATAAAATTACAATAAAAGTTGAAGTCTTAAAATAACCAGTTACATAGTCAAAGGTACTGTTAAAAGTCATATATGTGATGGTATTTGGAAGTTAGCAGTTGTAATTGTAATATATGTCCATATATGACTTCAACTTTTATTGTAACTTATATTTTATATTCACTCATATCATTTTATATCATTGTATACACTTGGAAGTTTAGCACTGTATCCCAGTGTCCGTGTTCTTAAATCTCCGAAAGTTCTTCACCGATTGCTTTGAAATTTTGACACAACCTTGCATTCAAACACGCGCGTTTTTATATACCTATTATATAGATGTCACACCCGTGACAGGTAAAAACAGATAAAAGTATTAATTGTATTCAATATTAATATACTGTAACGTGTTATACGTCGTCCATCAAATACCAACAGGTCGTTGCCTAGGAATAACCATGACAACGAAATTTTCGTTTTGATTTTATTATTTCGTGTTACATTGCATTGGAATTGGGCTGTGTCGTTTACCGTAGCGTTCATTTCGTGAGTATAGTTTATTTTTCATTGTTCTTCATTTCGTTTTCTTTACTGTTTCCCTTATTTTCCGGTCCAATCGGCGGTGAGATTGAGCTGTGTCGATTGATCTGCGTTTGAATTG